GGAACCAGTGTGAGGGGCCAGGGGAGTCAGTGTGTAGAGCCAGGGGAGCCAGTGTGAGGTGTCAGGGGAGCCAGTGTGAGGGGCCAGTGTGAGGGGCCAATGTGAGGGGCCAGGGGATCCAGTGTGAGGGGCCAGGGGAGCCAGTGTAAGGGTCAAGGGGAGCCAGTGAGGGGCCAGGGGAACCAGTGTGAGGGGCCAGAGGAGTCAGTGTGTGGGGCCAGGGGAGATAGTGTGTGGGGCCAGGGGAGTCAGTGTGAGGGGCCAGGGGAGCCAGTGTGTGGGGCCAGGGGAGATAGTGTGTGGGGCCAGGGGAGCCAGTGTGAGGGGCCAGGGGAGCCAGTGTGTGGGGCCAGGGGAGATAGTGTGTGGGGCCAGGGGAGCCAGTGTGAGGGGCCAGGGGAGCCAGTGTGTGGGGCCAGGGGAGATAGTGTGTGGGGCCAGGGGAGCCAGTGTGTGGGGCCAGGGGAGATAGTGTGTGGGGCCAGGGGAGATAGTGTGTGGGGCCAGGGGAGCCAGTGTGTAGGGCCAGGGGAGCCTGTGTGAGTGTGTTTTATGGGTGTGTACATACCTTATACTTGTGTAGAGGTTGAAGGGATGTGTCCCTGTTGTTTGAGGATGATGGTGTCTGTGTTTGAGGATGTGTGAGAAATGTGTCTATGTGGATGGATGTGTGTGGGTGGAGAAGAGATATAGTTGAAGTTGTATTTATCTTAGGAGATGTGATGTGCATGTGGGGGTTGGTGGGGGATGTCTGTGGGGGAGTGTCTGTGGTAGTTGGTAGAGCGGGGGAGGTTGTGTTTATGTGGGGTGAGGAGTTGTCTGTGTAGGAAGATGTGTGGAAGGGTGGAGTGAAAAAGGAGAAAGTAGATGTTATCTTAGATTTGTACCATTTTGAAAGATTCCACATTCAGCATTACAAACGAAAACTAGGAAAAATGATAGGTTCACAATTATTTCACATGTTGAATTGATGAACCCAGACATCAGACCAAGCGTACTAATGAAATATAATCAGATCCTATCTAAATACTAAAGCCTTTGTAAGACACCAGAATGACTTGTCAGAGACAACTAAAGCCTTACATATACCAGGTATATCTCTATTTCTGTTATTCTGGCAGTAATTGTACACTTCAAGATAAACCAGCTAAGAACCACATAAACTTGCCATTGGTGACATATGATGACTTTGTAGGTTCATGAATCAACGTTTCACATTTGGAACTGAATCTAAATCTTGTTAAACTTTGGTTAAAGTACACTGTCAAAAGATATAGGAGTATCTGCTACATCCATTCAGTAACCTAAGAACCAGATGGTTTTCTATTTCCATCAAACAATACTTACCACATTTATTTCCCTCCATCAACAAGAGGTCCTAGTGGCCCACATCTCTGACCTCCTAGTTTACACAAAATCAAGTTCCACCTCATCCAGGTATGCTTCAGACCAAATTGGGATAGAATCAAAGCATTCCCACAAAAGAAGAAGACTTTTAAAGAATATTTTCTAATTCCCCTAATGAGCCCATTCTCCCATCCAAAGAGGCCAAGACACGTTGTTAATTCCCATCACCCAAAGATACTTCAGACCAAGTTAGAACAGAATCTTGGCATTCTTTCCGAAGAGGATTGATTTTCAAGACTTTGCTCTATTTCCTCTATTTGGCCTCATCCTTCTTGCCCCTGGGGATTGAGACCTACAGTTTACGAAAAACTGATTCACCATCACCTTAGGATGAAAGAGACCAAATTTGTGACAAAATTCGGACATTCCAAATTATCTCTTTCCTCTATTGGACCTGCCCTTTCAGGGAGCTTATTCCAAATTCACTCCCTTTAATCCAAGGATGCTTCCGACTAAATGTGGAAAATCCTGGCATTTTTACGAAAGGAATAGGATTTTAAAGCATCTGCTTAATTTCCTCTGTTGGGACAAATTTGGTCAAAATGTAGTAAATCATTCTGGACAATTTGCGTTTAAAAACAAAGTTCTTGGGATTAGATGAGCTAAAAAGTGAAAAACAAACACTATGCAAAGTCTATTCTGAAAGCTTCTTAAAATTCTTGAGAAAAAAATGTACCATAGAAAATAACACATGAGTAATCAAAAATACATCCTTACATCCTTACAGGTCATGTCCCTTTATTCCACTTGGGTGTGAAGAAAGGTAAATTTCTGAAAATATCTCTCCAACTGTTCTCTATTTTGTTTTTATATAAAACACCTGATGGGGATGTATTGCTATAACATGCCTAACAATCAAATCAGAGCACTAAAGTAGTCTTTTAAATCCACTTGCAGATTAGTGTCCTGGCAACAATGGCTACCAGCTATTTTCTACAAAGTTTGATATTGAAACAATCAGCTGACATTATTACATCATCCATCTGCTCTAAAACTATTGATACAATATTTTGACAGTCTGCATAGCTTGAAGTTTTTATTAAATTGAATTGCCACAAATTCAGTGTATAACTCCTGACAAGTTTAATCTTGAACAATTGTTTACATAAACCTACAATTTCTATCTTGGTATCATTTGTAACAAACAAAGATGATCACGACACATTTACTGAACAAATGTAACCAAAATAACTTAGGCAATTTCTTAGCTTACAACTCATTTTACGGAGTGAGTGTTGAATACATTGAAGGCTTCTGACAGATACACTTGTAACTCGTACCTCCAAGACTCCAAACGACCAAGATCAGAAAATTGTTCTGACATATTCTTCAGAGATGCTAATTCACTAACACAAGTACAAATTGACAATTACGAAGAGATTTACATTAAAGCCATTTTCTATTCAGGCAGACAACAATGGAAGGCTACCTGGCAGACTATGGCTACTGATCACCATGATATCTTCATCTGTAAATCTCCCCTTCAATTTCAATTTGTCTGTCCACGATTCTGAAATATTTCATTCACTATAAACTCATTCTATTGAAAAATGTTATTTTCTTCAAGTCTCTTTTCCATACATGTATATAATTTACTATTTCCTTCCTACCATATTACATGCCATCCCAAATCTTCATTATTGTACTGATATCTCTATCCAGATGTATTTTCCCTCTAATCATATCCTACCCTTCCCCTCGTTCCCCATCTCATCATTTTCCTTGTTATCAATTGTCAATGTTCTGATTTATGTTTTTTTCATTTCCTCTGTTTTATACAAATCACACTACTGCTACTTCATCAATATCATCTCTGTTATTCTTGTCTCTAACCAGTTCACTACCACCCCCCAATCCCATCTCTCTCTCACCAAGTATTCCTTCTCTACCCCTCTCTCTCTCTCTCTCGCCAAGTATTCCTTCTCTACCCCCCTCCCCCCCCCCTCTCTCTCTCCAAAGTATTCCTTCTCTACCCCCCTCCCCCCCTCTCTCTCTCTCTCTCTCGCCAAGTATTCCTTCTCTACCCCCCTCCCCCCTCCCTTCCTCATCTCTCTTTATATTCTTGTACCTCCCTCTCTCTTCCGCCCTATAAACTTTCCCTATCCTCGTAAGACTGGCCCTAGTCTGTATTATGAATTTAATTGAGTCTCATAATTCTCATCTCTTGGATATGTCTGATTTACAGCAAGGGGATACAAGTATTTCTTAATAAAACTTATGTGTTGTTAGCCAGTCTTTCCATACTCATGTATCCCGTCTCAACTCCATAAGTCAGAATAGCCCCACCCATCCTCTAGTCTGTCTCTGATTTTAACCCTGCTTTATAAACAACCAGACTGGTACTACAGAACCCACTGATGAATGAGCCTGTCTATTTATGACTTCTGAAAACATTTCTGAGACCGGCAATACATCCACACAAATTAGTTACAGCTGATCGGACACCTACCAAAACAATCTGTCTTCCCACAGTTGTACCACATGCATCTGATAGCATTTAATATATCACATACATTTATAATCAAATACAGTTTGTACTCTTTCTACATTTTCTTACTGTCACTAAATTTATATTAAATTTACTTTTTATTATGATGATGACAAATACATTTTTTCTATAAGGTATCACAATTGTACAAGAAATGTTCTGTGTATTTGATTTTGGACTTTTGGAAGTTAAAGATAAGATATACAGCCAGCATCAAAAGAACAATAATTGTGGTCCTATCAGTCATGTGACATTTCCTGTAACCAAAAATAGCTAAAGGAACATCAATATATGGTGATTTTCTCTACTGAAGATATTGCAGAAAGTCAGTTGTGACTCTTGCCCAGATAAAATAACTCAATCAATACTTTGAGAGGCCATCCATTGCTGTTTACCAGAAGACAGTCACAGACTAGGAGATACAGCATGTCAATCTCAGTTTCTATATATAGCTCACACACAAATGATGTCAGGATCTATATACCTCAAACGCCAAATAATGTCACAATTATAGTGACTGCTGTAAACTTATTTATATCCTAGAAAATCCACAAACCCCCTTCATCGTGGATGACAGGAAATTTTGGATCACTTCATTACATCCATGCAAGTATGAAGAAATGTTTGATGTATTCTAAATAATTGGTGTCCATTTCAAATCAATACTGGTTTCAGACATGAACTAGCCTTACTTCTGATAAACCATTAATTATATTTGACAGATGCTACCTAAATCAGGAGCAATGAGTATCCGTAGACGATTTTAATCATCAGTCTGATTTCTCAATCAACATCACATGCAAGTACAACTTGACAATGTCAGTGGTTCCATCCATAAAGAGAATTTTGCATTTATTGATAAGAATGACTGAAAGAACAAGGAACTATTTTTTAGCGATGTAGCTCACAGGTGGTGAAGTCAGCTTGATCGTTCCGACATGTCATATCTATAGCGATTACACAGCCCACTGTGTTGTGATGTGTGCGAAGTGATAGTGACATACAAACTTGTTTACATATATACATATTGCATATATACAGAAGGTTAATATAACCGAAAAGCTACAAAATAACGTTTTAATACATTACATATCACGATACTTACTGAATCAAACAATATCCTGATTTCTTAAATCCCCAAGTTAGTGTACAAGAAGAGCTAGAAAGAGCCGGTCGGTGTTGACCCCACCATCAGTCTCATCACACCAACACAGCATCAGTGCACGCGTGCGTTTCGCTTAACCGATGTACGTGCGGTAGAAACAGATGAGCTAGGGCCGGGCCGACCTAAATTCGATTATTGCACAAGATATTTTCGAGTGTCGTATTTCTCTCCGAAATTTTAATATGTCTCTGGTGCGATGCTAATGTTAGCAGTTGCATAGCCTGTTGGAGATGTCTGTTAGATCTACCGATCAACGAAAAAATGAAGTCACGAGAAATTAGAGACACAATGTTGTGTTTTCTTAAATAGCTGATGTTATTTTTCATGTGATATATAATGGTAAAATTGATATGTAGAATACAGAAATGTATGGTAGCATAAAGTAATGACAAACTAATGATTAAAGTAAAGTGAGGTGCCACTGAATATTTATGGTTGTTATTATAATAAAATAAACGACATTTATTTCATGGAGCTGAATATTACTGGTAGTCATAAACACACATTACAGTTCCCTACATGTTACCTATTTTTGTCCTCTGTTTTGTTGCTATGGTTGTAATTGTTCTGTATTATTCTGTGTTTAAGATCGTTATTGTTCATCGAATACTATTTGTGATCATTAGAGGATGGCAAAACAAAAACAAAAAGTTAAATAGGATGAAAGTGAGAATATATCAATACAACTCTCAATTCCTCGTCAAGTTTTTGTAAGGCAGCAATTTGTGAAGACAGTAAAAGGGGGAGGGGTATTTATGCATTTCTTGTAAATAAGCAAATAATTTCTACTTAATGACATTGCTGTTTTTCAGGAGACAATAACGATTTGATTACTCGTGAATATTAGTTGAAACAGTACACAATCTGAGATAGTTTTTTTCAGCTAGTGATCTATTTCAATATCTCTGTCAGTGTAAATATATAACTTTAATGCACTAAAATAGCGCGTGAATTCGCCAGAAAAATCCATCACTGTCAGTTTAAACTTTGATATAACGACCGCAAGTTACCTTTCCAATCAGAAATAAACATAAGCAAAAATAGTAAATATATATATACATTTGTCGTGTTGATTTGATTTTTTTCAACTATATGTATATATACTTTTATATTTTTCTTTTTTCCCCATTTCTTCTCAAGAAATAGCGACAAGAATTAAGTCTTCTCAGACAAAAGTCAAGAGTCGATTTTTATCGTATTGGTTGTGCAGTCCTAATATTGAACTTGTACAGCTGCGGACGTTGGGTGGGAATTCTCAATATAGAAGAAAATGATGTCAAGAGCTCTTCGGAAGAAATACCAAAAAGAGATTTTGAAGGATATCATAGCGGGACGACAAGCCTCAAGGCACATTGCTGACTTTCCGCAAATAGGAAGTGCACTGCATACATATCATTTTCATAAAGCAAATTAGTTGAAAAATCACCTTAATTTCTTAAGAACTTTCGTTGGGCGAGGCGCTCAAATACCCTAATATGGCTTCGCCCCTGCACCCTTAGCACTGCATTGTCGACTGGCAAATCGCCTGGCTTCGGGTGAAGACCAATCGTGTGTCTCTCTCCGGCACAGGAAGGAGTTCACTTTTTTTGCATATAGAAATTCAAAACAAACACCAAAATCCGGGAAAAGGGTAGGAGTGGATTAGGATTTTCTGTGAAAAAAACCGGTGTTCCCTCTAACCCGAAATCCAGGATTTTGTGTCTGTTCTTGATCAGCTATAGGAATCAGAACTATACTGTTTTATTTACACTTGACAAACATGTCTCAACAAATGTGAACCAATTAATAATAAATACAGACGATATGGAACTGTGATAGAAAATGTAAAGTATGTACGTTTGTTTGTTTTCACTGGTTAATTAACTTTCATCGCAATACCAGGGTCATGTGAGGGATATGTGTCAAGAGGGATACCAAAAAAGGTATGAAAGAAAAATATCTCAAGATCCCAAGTCGTGCAATGGGTACAGCAGATTTATGTTTGGTCTCTTCAATGTCCCTTTAATTAATACACACAGTGGAATACAGCATACACTATTCTCGGACTGTCCGAGGTCCTCTGAACAGAAATTTAGCTTCAGTGATACCGCTTCCGGTCACCAAGGGATCCTCCAAAAATTAACCGACTCGCTTCATACGAGAAGCAGTGAGATCAGACACACGAATGGTCAAGATAGACATTTTCTTACGGTACTTATATGAACACGAACTCAAAATAGTCCGTGGTATGAGGTCTATAAACGATTACAGTTGTTTTTACAAGCGATTCGTGGTCGCTACATTTAAAGATACATTGTTCTTTAAAGCAAGATAAGATTTCCAAGTAGATCACATTAACATCTCATTCCGTTAGCAAATGCAGATGAGAACAGCAAAATATTTCTTGTTAATTCAAAACTTTACAAGATCTTAATTACACGAAACCAGAGACGTATGTAAAAATGTGTTATATACGTCTCTGACGAAACTAAAGGTCTTTAGACGTTCGCGTTGAAAAATTGTAATGTTCCATTAAGGCAATGATGTAATAGTTATTGTTAAAAATCTTTCGTTTTCAAAACGATGAAATATTACATTAAATGAAAACTTTAAACAAAGATTTGGTAAGAGCATATACTTTTGAGTACAACCAGAACTGATCAAATGATAGATTTTCATTTAGATATTGTAATTTTATAAAGTTAAATTATGTTATTACATGCTATGTAATTTTGAGAGTGTTATTTCAATTTTTCATTTATTTTTTCATTAATTCCTTAAATTCTTCTCAATGATCTGATACTTGGATTATATCCTCACGCCTTGACAGTAGAGTTATGTCCCTTTAGAAGAACTCTCAACATGGCAGTCAGTTTGCTAAGGTCACTTGTGTCTCCACTAAAAGTCTGCGGGCGTCAAGCAGGAGTTGTGTTTCCTGCAATTAAGGTTTATAACTTATTGATACACTTATGACCTACATACACACCGCTTTAATTGTGGAAAGAGTGCTTCTAAACATCCAAACAAACATCATGCATATTTAGTTTTGTAAACATGTTCTCTGATTGGCGGATTGTGTCACACCTCCAAAACAGATCGATGTGTGTGAAATGCTCCATTGTATAAATTGATGTATTTCAGTGGGATGCGACCTTAATTTTCACGAAGCTGACTTCTAAAATATAATGTTTAGATTAAGGAACATCGGAACATTTCACACTATTTCTATCCCACCATCATTACCCCACTCAAATGTGTTCACTCACTCTATCTACACTCAGTCCATGGCATTGCTAGTACCCTAGGCCGTTTTCGTTTATCAGTTTGAACAGTAACAACATGATTGTTCGGTTATGAAATAAGGCTTTCTAATGAGCCTCGTCTGAGCCTATCAAGGGCTGTATTAATATTTGCAGCAACGTCCTGATTCGTTTTAATCTGAACTTCTATTTGTCTCAATGTCCTTATTAAATTACAATTGAAATTTAACTTTGATTATCATTAAGCTTCTGTTTCATGTGGACCTTAATGAGTTTGTTATGTACATGTATGATAAAATGTGGTAATTTTTTATTTCGTGCAGATAAATAATGTCAGGGACTTCAGTACATCACAACGGAGGAGTGCAGTTTTTTGTGCGAATGCATCAGACGCAGTTAAAGACATCAATGATGGATCAAAATTGCTGGTTGGAGGTAAAGTGATGTAAAAAAAAATATATATATAAAGAAAATTGTTTAAAAAAACACACATGAAAAAGTTAAGTTAGCATTTTGCATAACATTTTCACAGCTTAGCTACTCCTCATGAAAACGTTATGCAAAATGCTAACTTAACTTTTTCTTGTGTGTTTTTTTAAAGAATTTTCTTTATATTATCACTTGCGTATCATCATTAACTATATCATATATATATCTGCTCACCTTAACATCAACTTAATTTTTTTTTTCAAGAGAAAAGTAAATTTTTAACAAATAAAAGAAGCAAGTCTTGCATGGTTTCTGTGGATGATAGTTTGGACCAGAGACCTAAATAACAGATAATGCATTTCAGGTCTCTGTTTGGATCACCTTCACCACTAAGAACTATGCGATACATGATATACTGGTTAAATGGATCAGAATACTAAACTTAGCCATCTATAACAATCTTATTTCAGGTTTTGGATTATGTGGAATCCCAGAAAATCTTATTAGTGCATTACTAGATACCAAAGTGAAAGACTTAACTGTGGTCAGCAACAATGCTGGGGTGGATGACTTTGGCCTTGGACTATTGCTGAAGCAGGGCCAGGTTTGTGTGCTATCCATTACATTTCATCTTTTTATCTCACAACTTATGTGTACATCCATGTTATTGGACCTAAAGGCTTGTATTATTATGAAAGATAAAATGATAAATAAAGGATGTCTTAATTTTGCATATCACAAATGTCACTAGACTCTGGACATTTATGATAACAAGCCAAGAAGACTTCAGTGATGACACTGAAAAATATGTGATGAAAATCACAATAAATTGGTTTTCGTTTATATATACAAGATTTATAAAATTCATCTCTTTTTTTTTTTTTTTTTAATTTTTTACAAACCAGAGACATTTGATTCATTATTAATATTAAATCATTTTAGAAAGAAAGAACCTGGTTGATAATGACAGTCTTATATCCAAAAAGAAAAAAGGATTATTGAGATTATAAGATATTTCAGGAATGAATTGACTTCGATAAGAAATGATAATATATTAATGCTCAATGATCTGTATTATCTTGGGTATAAAGTAGGGAATTGTAATATCTGATTGGGGTTTCGTGCCACTCTGTTGTCATATCCAACTTAACCATGAAAAGTATTGTATGCAGTACTAAAAGTAAAGCAAGCTTATGCCTTCAGTGAAACAATACTAGAGTGGAATGAAGAATATAGCCATATGTGTATAGATATGCCTTTATCCATTACAGATCAGGCGAATGATATCATCCTACGTGGGTGAGAATGCAGAGTTTGAGAGACAGTACTTATCTGGAGAACTGGAAGTGGAACTCACACCACAGGTAATATTTGATGTATCCAAATGGGAAGGGTGTCGGGATTTGGGTTGTTTGGGTTAGTATTAAATGAGAATAGAAATTAGAATTAATTTTCTGTTCTTTTGAGTTTCAGCCCGCTGCATTATCTTTTTTTTACCTCTTATATGGGGGTACCTTTTAATTGACTTCAGTTTTACAATGCAAATTTTGTTTAACACTCTATAAGTAGATGTATTCTAGATTTAATTATCAAAGCACTCAACACAATAAGATAAGTTTGTTGTGGAGAAATATATCTATTAAATGTACTGGATGTTTTAGACTGCAAGGCAGTGACCATCTACTAGATATATTCCTTAATTTTTCATTGACAGAGTTAGTGTCCTTTTTTGAGTTTGTCATTTCAGACCATTTCTGCTTGATGAGGCAAAGTTTTCAGTCAGTCTTAAGAAACTATATGCTTTAAGATCATAGTTGCTCATGTTTGTTGTAAAGAGGGGTATTCCTTTTATATTGTGGCCCCTAGTCTTAGATTTTATTTTATCATTACTACCGATGAAGGGAAGGTGTGAACGTTTCAAGTACTGTAGTACTGAACAAAGTATTGATAGTATTGTACTGAAGTACTTCACCAATCGAATTCCTTAAATTTATGCAACAAGCTCTCTGATTGGCAGAGCCAAGTCTAGATCGATTGTGGGTGGAGCCAGGTGAAAAAATACTGTGCAGACATCGGCATTTTACAAACACTCGACTGTCGCGAGAGGTTAATTGGAAGAGTCCAAGTCACAGGTGGCTTCAGATCAGACCTAATTGGGTTGTCCCATTTGTTTCGTTCTACACCCAATGATACCTTGCTTTTCCATCGATGGTACAACGAGAAAACGAAAGTTACTCAGTACTAAACTAATTTACGTACAAAATATATATCAACAGGTTAGATCACTGGGACCGGAGAATTCATAACATCTTAACAGTGAATATAGTCATATAGTCATTCTGTACTAGTTTTATTTATTTATTTTTTTGAAAGGGGGGGGGGGGGGGGGGGGGGGTTGGCTCAAAATATTTCGGTTTAAGCCCAAGCTCTATTATATGTAACAAAGAATTACGAATTACCTGGGACCTCCTGATATATGCCGATAATTCATACTGTATTAAAAAATAAAGGAATTCTGTGGTCCCATATATTTTTTATTTTATTTTTTATCTTTCCATCGAAAATTATACATATCCGCAACATGTGAAAAAACTTTGAAGTTGGTTGGGCGGAATATCTAGAGCATTTACTACTGCAAGTTCCAGAAATTCTGACACAAGTCGGGTATTTGCCCGAAGCCTCTGTCTCATGACATTGAATACATATTCAGTTACGTTGTATTCCGGGGAATGAGGCGGCTGAAAAACCAGGGACACGCCATATTCTTTCAGCATATTTCTTAAAATGCGCTCTCCCTGTCTATGGTGATGGAATCCACAATTATCCATCACAACCACATCGCCTTGTACAAAAACAGGATTCCCCATATCGTTCGTATCGGACATAATTTCGTCGAAGAAAATTTTGCGTACTGTTGCCGTCATCGGACATTTTTCCAGCGATTACTTAGTAATTGTTATGTAACTGGTAGTGTACATTAACTCCGCCTACAGGAACAAATTGGGTGTCAGATCAACTATTCAGGTTGTCTAAACTCCGCCCCCGACCAATCACAGAGGTCGTTGTATACTTGACTCGATTATTTGAATACTTCAATACAATAGTATCAATACTATAGTAAGTGTGTCGTTCACACCTTCCCTTCATCGGTAGTAACAAATTCAGCTTCAACTGTTTTCTTGGCAAGAATGATGCTCATTGACATGTATTTTCCTCAAAATAAATTCTAACCAACATAGTTACATAATGTACAACAGTAAAAGTGATGTGGATGGTGTACTTTATTATGGCTCATGCATGATGACGTTGTTGATGTGATTCCAGGGAACTCTAGCTGAGAGAATTAGAGCAGGAGGGGCAGGCATCCCCGCCTTCTTCACACCCACTGGCTATGGAACATTGATAGAGGCAGGAGGGGCTCCTATCAAATATGATGGCAAGGGAGATGTTGCTTTGGCCAGTAGCTCAAGGGAGGTAAGTCATACACAGCCTGGTAGATTTTATCCTACATGGATTGATGTTACTCAGTATTCCTGTCTTGTAAAATATCACTGTTGAGATGATAACCCTACATTGTTTTGGAAGGCTGTGGCTGAGTATAATAAACCTTCTTATAACACAACAAATAGAAGATTTGAGAGTAATGTTTCGATGATTACATGGTCACCTTAATCAGACAAAGGACCAGTGCGAAGCATACTAGCACTGACATACCTAGTGTATGAGATGGTTAGGAATCGACTAAACTTTTCAGCTTAACTATAATTCTATGTACAATAAGGTTGGAAAGAGTGTGTTGAGATGTTAAACAGATTAATGGTATTGAAAAAAAAAATACACAAGACTCATGCATATCTATAACAAAGTGTTAAACAAAACAAAGCCTCATGGTTATGGAATATTTATAGAAATGGGTGGGGGCTCCTGTAAAAATATGATGGCATGGAAGATGTTGTGGCCAGTAGCTCAAGGGAGGTAAGTCATACAGTCTGGCAGATTTTATCTTACATGAGTTGACATTGCTGTGTATTCCTGAGATGTAATGTATAACTACTAAGGAGGTAAGCCTGATGTATTTGGAAAATGTTGGCAGAGGATTGTGATTATATTGTCAAAAATACTAGTTTTACTGACGGTACAGATAATATGTTACACAAACTGTAACCGTAGAGTGCAAACACAAATATACATTATAAATCAATATCTAAAGTTTGTACATACTGTGGACATAATTATAAATCAATATCTAAAGTTTGTACATACTGTGGACATAATTAGAAACAATATCTAAAGTTTGTACATACTGTGGACATAATTAGAAACAATATCCAAAGTTTGTACATACTGGGTACATAATTAGAAACAATATCCAAAGTTTGTACATACTGTGGACATAATTAGAAACAATATCCAAAGTTTGTACATACTGTGGACATAATAGAAACAATATCCAAAGTTTGTACATACTGTGGACATAATTAGAAACAATATCCAAAGTTTGTACATACTGGGTACATAATTAGAAACAATATCCAAAGTTTGTACATACTGTGGACATAATTAAAAACAATATCCAAAGTTTGTACATACTGGGTACATAATTAGAAACAATATCCAAAGTTTGTACATACTGTGGACATAATTAGAAACAATATCCAAAGTTTGTACATACTGGGTACATAATTAGAAACAATATCCAAAGTTTGTACATACTGTGGACATAATAGAAACAATATCCAAAGTTTGTACATACTGGGTACATAATTAGAAACAATATCCAAAGTTTGTACATACTGTGGACATAATAGAAACAATATCCAAATTTTGTACATACTGTGGACATAATTAGAAATAATATCTAAAGTTTGTTCATACTGTGGACATAATAGAAACAATATCCAAAGTTTGTACATACTGTGGACATAATAGAAACAATATCCAAAGTTTGTACATACTGGGTACATAATTAGAAACAATATCCAAAGTTTGTACATACTGTGGACATAATAGAAACAATATCCAAAGTTTGTACATACTGTGGACATAATAGAAACAACATCCAAAGTTTGTACATAATGTGGACATAATTAAAAACAATATCCAAAGTTTGTACATACTGTGGACATAATTAGAAATAATATCTAAAGTTTGTTCATACTGTGGACATAATAGAAACAATATCCAAAGTTTGTACATACTGTGGACATAATTAGAAATAATATCTAAAGTTTGTTCATACTGTGGACATAATTAGAAACAATATCCAAAGTTTGTACATACTGTGGACATAATAGAAACAATATCCAAAGTTTGTACATACTGTGGACATAATTAGAAACAACATCCAAAGTTTGTACATACTGTGTACATAATTAGAAACAATATCCAAAGTTTGTACATACTGTGGACATAATAGAAACAATATCTAAAGTTTGTACATAATGTGGACATAATTAGAACAATATCCAAAGTTTGTACATACTGTGGACATAATAGAAACAACATCCAAAGTTTGTACATAATGTGGACATAATTAGAAACAATATCCAAAGTTTGTACATACTGTGGACATAATTAGAAATAATATCTAAAGTTTGTTCATCCATAATAGAAACAATATCCAAAGTTTGTACATACTGTGGACATAATAGAAACAACATCCAAAGTTTGTACATAATGTGGACATAATTAGAAACAATATCCAAAGTTTGTACATACTGTGGACATAATTAGAAATAATATCTAAAGTTTGTTCATACTGTGGACATAATAGAAACAATATCCAAAGTTTGTACATACTGTGGACATAATAGAAACAATATCCAAAGTTTGTACATACTGTGGACATAATAGAAACAATATCCAAAGTTTGTACATACTGTGGACATAATTAGAAACAATATCCAAAGTTTGTACATACTGGGTACATAATTAGAAACAATATCCAAAGTTTGTACATACTGGGTACATAATTAGAAACAATATCCAAAGTTTGTACATACTGTGGACATAATAGAAACAATATCGAAAGTTTGTACATACTGTGGACATAATTAGAAACAATATCCAAAGTTTGTACATACTGGGTACATAATTAGAAACAATATCCAAAGTTTGTACATACTGGGTACATAATTAGAAACAATATCCAAAGTTTGTACATACTGTGGACATAATAGAAACAATATCCAAAGTTTGTACATAATGTGGACATAATTAGAAACAATATCCAAAGTTTGTTCATACTGTGGACATAATTAGAAACAATATCCAAAGTTTGTACATACTGTGGACATAATTAGAAACAATATCCAAAGTTTGTACATACTGGGTACATAATTAGAAACAATATCCAAAGTTTGTACATACTGGGTACATAATTAGAAACAATATCCAAAGTTTGTACATACTGTGGACATAATAGAAACAACATCCAAAGTTTGTACATAATGTGGACATAATTAGAAACAATATCCAAAGTTTGTACATACTGTGGACATAATTAGAAATAATATCTAAAGTTTGTTCATACTGTGGACATAATAGAAACAATATCCAAAGTTTGTACATACTGTGGACATAATTAGAAATAATATCTAAAGTTTGTTCATACTGTGGACATAATTAGAAACAATATCCAAAGTTTGTACATACTGTGGACATAATAGAAACAATATCTAAAGTTTGTACATAATGTGGACATAATTAGAACAATATCCAAAGTTTGTACATACTGTGGACATAATTAGAAACAATATCTAAAGTTTGTACATACTGTGGACATAATTAGAAACAATATCCAAAGTTTGTACATACTGGGTACATAATTAGAAACAATATCCAAAGTTTGTACATACTGGGTACATAATTAGAAACAATATCCAAAGTTTGTACATACTGTGGACATAATAGAAACAATATCCAAAGTTTGTACATACTGTGGACATAATTAGAAACAATATCCAAAGTTTGTACATACTGGGTACATAATTAGAAACAATATCCAAAGTTTGTACATACTGGGTACATAATTAGAAACAATATCCAAAGTTTGTACATACTGTGGACATAATAGAAACAATATCCAAAGTTTGTACATAATGTGGACATAATTAGAAACAATATCCAAAGTTTGTACATACTGTGGACATAATTAGAAATAATATCTAAAGTTTGTTCATACTGTGGACATAATAGAAACAATATCCAAAGTTTGTACATACTGTGGACATAATTAGAAATAATATCTAAAGTTTGTTCATACTGTGGACATAATTAGAAACAATATCCAAAGTTTGTACATACTGTGGACATAATAGAAACAATATCCAAAGTTTGTACATACTGTGGACATAATTAGAAACAATATCTAAAGTTTGTACATACTGTGGACATAATTAGAACAATATCCAAAGTTTGTACATACTGTGGACATAATTAGAAACAATATCTAAAGTTTGTACATACTGTGGACATAATTAGAAACAATATCCAAAGTTTGTACATACTGGGTACATAATTAGAAACAATATCCAAAGTTTGTACATACTGGGTACATAATTAGAAACAATATCCAAAGTTTGTACATACTGAGGACATAATAGAAACAACATCCAAAGTTTGTACATAATGTGGACATAATTAGAAACAATATCCAAAGTTTGTACATACTGTGGACATAATTAGAAATAATATCTAAAGTTTGTTCATACTGTGGACATAATAGAAACAATATCCAAAGTTTGTACATACTGTGGACATAATTAGAAATAATATCTAAAGTTTGTTCATACTGTGGACATAATTAGAAACAATATCCAAAGTTTGTACATACTGTGGACATAATAGAAACAATATCCAAAGTTTGTACATACTGTGGACATAATTAGAAACAATATCTAAAGTTTGTACATACTGTGGACATAATTAGAACAATATCCAAAGTTTGTACATACTGTGGACATAATTAGAAACAATATCTAAAGTTTGTACATACTGTGGACATAATTAGAAACAATATCCAAAGTTTGTACATACTGTGGACATAATTAGAAACAATATCCAAAGTTTGTACATACTGTGGACATAATTAGAAACAATATCCAAAGTTTGTACATAGTACAACTATATAATCAAACAATATCTACTGTTTGCACATATATACAACTGTACTTGAACAACATCTGAAGATTGTACATAATTAAACAATATTGGAAGTTCATGTAACAGTGTTGAAATTTGTGGGAAAAAATGCCAACAAGACCCTGATGAGAATTCTACGGATTTATTATTTAGACATCAATATATTTTTCCCTGCGATTTTACGATAGTACAATATCAACAATTAGAATGGGCTACATTGAAATATTGCACTTATACAGCATGATATTTAGATATAAAATGTACAACTAGTCATGTTACATGTACATTACACTAATGATAATTATTTAAACATTCAGTTTTACATTAAACCAATTTTGTACATATATGTCATATTCAACATATATATGTAAATCTTATATTCTCAATATATATAGATACATAGAGGATACAATAAATACACATTCTAAATAAATCGCTGAAAGTACTTTATAAAGAATGTGGCAATACAATAATAGTCATACATATTTGTGGAACAGGGGCGATATATTCATGAGTGCACCTCACTATTATCAGTGTATCTTTTCTGGATAACATATAAATACAAATTCATAAAAATATTATTAAAACAATATAATGTAACCAGTACATATATATCAAACCAGGAATCAACAAATATGATATGAAAATATCAAAGGAAGTAATTGAGTTAGAATTGGAGTTGGAGACAATAAATCTAGCTTAAGTTAGTAAGTTTCTTACCAGTTGTAATGAGAGTCTGTTTAGTCAAAGTGTTTTATTGGTGGAATGTCGAATACCATGCCAAAAGGAAAAAAAAAGCACAATAATAACAAAGAAGCCCCCAGCCAATAGCTTACAGAAGAGGTGTCACTTGGAACAATTCAGAAACTGACCAATGACAAAAATAGAAATAGCCAAACCCAATTACATCACAAAATCAACACTTTAATATACCATTGTACTGGGATAATTGAAAAATAAAATTGACAAATATCATCTCTGCTACATTTGTAAATACTGTTGATGAAATAAAAATAAAGAATTTATACAAACATTGCCATCATTAATTCTATAGGCTAGCCTTAGCCCCAATCTGTCATAAGGTGTTTTAAACTCACCTGGTTCAAAGAATCAGTGATTGTTGCTATGGTGCAGAGTCTCTCGTCTGTCTGTCAACTGGTGTCTGTCAGCCAAGTAAAAATTGCTACTAGTCATGAACAGCTTAACAAATTTTTACTGAATTTGGTCAGAAGCATTCATGGGGGAAGAGGAACCAGTTTTATATAGATATTGGTTATTGGTCCCCAGGGGCCAGAGGGATGAAAGGAGAAATTTTGCAGTTTGTTTAAAATTAAATTCTCCGATAGGAATGAATGTGTATTGCTCAAACTTGGTCTGAAGCATTCTTGAACGAAACGATGCATCTCATTCTCCCAAGGGGTGGAAGGGGTGGGGCCTAAAAAGCAAAATAGAGCAAAGGGTTAGAGCCCAATAGGGAAATTAGAGCAAATTCTTAAAAATCCATCATTTTTAGGAATGGTAAATCTGTTTTCTGTTTAATCACAAGGCCGCAACCCAATAGGGAGTCATTTCAGAAATTATTTGTTTATATTTAAAATTTGTTGTTAAATGACTGAATAGCTGAATCAAGGTGAGTGATGTAGACCCCTTTGGCATCTTGTTGGTCTTACTAATATTCAGCATTCTCAGAATGGCAATTGTCTTGAGTTGTGAGAGTCATTTGTTAATGGTAAGCTCTTTAAGTTAATGATCACTGCTCACGGCTTGATGTCTAGCTAAGTAGTGGCAAGGGTTGGTTTATAGTCATGTTACATCATTTCTCTAAAGAGGGATTAACTTCTGGATGGGACCTAATCCTTATTTCAAAACAAATCTGTTTTATTTGATTCTTTGTAAGAACAATAAAGGCCAAGCAACTAGGGTTATAAGACATGAAACTTTGAAGAGAAATAGTAACAAAACATACCTTACCTGTTAATTGCTCATTCATTTCCTTGTCCAGAAATAAGCTAGTATACATATGTGTTGGCCCCTCTGGGTTATTTCATGCTAAATATATGGTATTATTAAGTTCTTTCAGACCTTAGTTATCACAGTTCTAGTTATATTGTCAGAGTGCATTTCCTCTATTTTCCAAATTTTATGTCAGAAAACTTGTTCAGTAGCAAAAATACCTGAACATTCATGATGATATCTTCATTTGAAATCACTTAAAAACAACATTTCTTATGTGCCTGGCTAGATAGATGAAATGTTTTAATTCAATTATTTTTCATGATTTAAGTTTTTATATACACAATATTGGTATGTTATGTTAGAATGTCAGTGCAGTGTCTTCTAATCAAATTTCTTTTTATAAAGTTGTCTCCCTTTATATATGTATACTGCTTTTAATATGCAACCACAATAAGTAGGTAATGGTGTTTGTCATTTGAATTAAAATTAAAATTTGCTCTTGGGTTTTTTTAGCTCAATTTCCCACTTCTTATTATTGGACTTGCCTGAAAAAAATCCCTCAAAAATTATTGCACTTCTTTTGAATACAAGCCAATAGGCCAAGACTGATGTGTTTCAAATGTATCATTTGTAAAAAAGGGGATATGACCTTTTTCGATTAACATGATGGAAAATGCTAAAATAAACTCCTGACAATAATGTCCTTTCTTTATAAGAGCATGTGAGTGATACAAGCCCATTGGGCCTTGCCCTTTTCTCACATTTCAACACTCCATGATTGAGACCAGAGGAGGTGTCTACAAGAAGATACCAGGCAGTTTTTTTTTCAAACTTATTGATAATTTGTGGAGTTTTAACAGAAAGAAAGTTATGTCTGATATATAATCTTACTTTTCCTGCTTACTATCAACATTACACCTGCTATCCTCAGTATAAATAAAACCTCATACTTTTATATAATTGTTGATTTCATAGTTGAGAAAAACCTTTATAAGGCTAACAAAATCAAGAAAAAATCTCCTGATAGTGACAGATATGACAAAAAATTGAGGTAAATGCTTATATAGGCAGCTGTTATAATGTCTCTCAATGAATTAAAAAACTGAAAGTTAATTTTCAAAAGAATTTGATTTTGAAAGCATACACATACATTAATCAAGAATTTAAGACTGAATTAATTCACTCAATCGGTGACTGATAAGCATTTACCTATGAAATAATGAAATGTCATGATTGAGGAACTGATTGATGGCTGTTCCAGTCAACATTGTGTGACCAGTAGGGAAAAAAACTATACTGGAATAGTATAGAATAGAATAAGAATAGATTAGAATATTCTATTGCAAGTCTGTGGTACGTCATACTGCATGAAGCTGACAGATCATCACTGATTGGCTTTAGTAAAGGGCCAAACTTATTAATAAAATTTTGTAGTCAGAATTTATAGATAAATAAGTGTTATTAAATCATATGAAATACTTCATGAATTACATAATTAAGGACAGGTACAGTTCAGAGATCTAGAGACCGAAATAAGAAGTGTAGTTGGCAATAAGAACACTGAATATTGACAATAAAAATGAAAGTGTGTGGTTTTTTTTTAATCATTGATCATGTATTTCTCCAATTCTCCTGTTGGGGACCTCCAAAATGGTGCTCACTGAAACATGAAATATTTGATGTATTCAGATTGTGTTGAAGGTATTTCCTTACAAACACACACTAACAGAATAGGGGAACTGAATGGGACTGTTGTGTCACCTGGGGCGTCCCAGCAAAATCTTCACCTGCTGGCCAAATGCAAATTATCCTTTCTTTATTACCTACTTGGACATGCAGACGAAACAGAACTTAGATTAATTATAAGCTTAAGGCCGCAGCAATTTCAAAATATCTAATTAAAACATATGTGCTTAATGGAGTAATTGTTTGCAAAACTTGTATCAGCATGATTCACAGGTGAAAATTACCTGTACAAACAGTTCCTTTACCTGGTGAATTTTGTTTTTATCTGACGGAAAAAGTCATTGGTGTTTTAAGAGATGTAGATAAGTGTTTGTAATAAGGGCATGGCTGGGACTTATAGCAGGTGACTTAATAGTTAGGTAAATAAGTGTCACTGAGTTCTGACTGACAATATAGCCTATCCTACATTGACATACATGTACTTGTAAATATATATGCATGTACATGTACACCTATACTTTAAGCTCAAGTACTAGTGTGTTTGATATATATGGAGTTTACATAGTCACAGGTTAATACTATTAGTTTGTATTTAGTGTGAAGTATTGGTGGACAGCTGTAGAAGGATACACATTTAGTTCTGATCAGTGTGTTGTCATTGTTCACTCAGAAATATCTTTTAATGGAAGTATAACTAAGGATAGTGTAGATTTATTTACAAGATTATAATTAGAAATCATTGAAGCAAGATTAATTTCCCCACCTGGGGCCCCGACTGCTGTGACTCAGTGTAGATCTACACCTATAGTTTGCCTAGAGTATATATATGTATTACAACAAGTAGTCTGACCAGCAGACATAGGGAAAAGCCAAGTGTGTTCTCATGTCTAATTCAGGCCGATTACAACTAAAGGAGTCACCCGTACACTCATCATCGTGATGTACCTACTTCTGTTTGTTTACAAGTATCCTATCTATTTCCGACAACAAGGCCGTTAATACAGAAGATAACCCAATCAACAGGTGGATCCACAGGTAAATGGCCTGATATTATTACACATCACTCCAAGTATAGAACTGAGTAACTGATTCCTAACTATATATAAAAGTTCGTGTTTACTAGTATCCATCATGGTGAAGGATAGGCTTCAGGAGATGAAAAAGAAACACGAGGAGTTTGAAAGTGAAGAACTGAAGAAGAAACGTAAGAAAAAGGAAAAAGAAACCATGAAAACAACAATAGCAGGATTTCAAGATAAAGTTCATGGTATTGAAGAAAGGCTGAAAAGTTTGAAGAAAGATGCTGATGAAGTGAAAAAATTACAAAGTAATTTGTATTGTTCACCATTTGTAACTTCCAAGGACTTGCAAAAAATGGAGCATATGTCGGACCAGATCCTAACAGATTCTATAAAGATTCGTAAAGATATTGAGTTACTGGCCGCTGAAACAACAACAGAATCACAAGAGGCATCACTGATAACTTCTGGGACACATCAAAGAGTTCACATGACTCAGATTGACCGATTATCACAGGAATTGAAAAAGGTCACGAACGATTTTGCAGCAAATCAAGCAGACTACTTGGATAAAACAAAAGCACGATTTAAACGTCAGATGCAAATAGCAACAAATGGTAATGAACCAGACAATATAGACATGAATTTCCAGAACCAGGCCATGTTCACAGGGGGTTTCTTGATGGAAATGCAAAAAGCAAAAGGAGATTTACAAGCAATGCAGGAACGTGAACAAGTTCTCCATGATATTGAAGGTCAGATTCATGAGGTTAACAAATTATTCAAGGAAATGCATGTGTTAGTTGCTGAGCAAGGGGAGACAATTGATACCATAGAAAATCATGTTGAACGTACTGTTGCCGATGTAGAATCTGGCAAGAAAGACTTAGGGGAAGCCGAAAAAAACCAGAAAAAGGCTAGGAAAAAAAGGTGCATTTGTATTATAATATTAGCTGTTGTTATAGCAATTATCATTGGAATTGTGGCAGCCATTATTGCCCAAAGTACTGGTGGAGATTAAGGCTGGTTACAGATATATAGAACACATCATGAAACGTTGCTTTCAAATGTTCCTATGGATATTGTGTGCGGGCATTATGTTCAACACAGCCATCTGAAAATTATGGGATTCCTCTAATCACCTGTATGTCTTTTTTTCGTATTTTTTAATTGTTTATATTTTTTGTACAGTTAAGAAAGCATAATGTTTGCACTTAATATTTATGTGAGTGATGAACAGTTGTATGATTGTTAAGCATATCAATGTATTCATGATGTTGTGTGTGGGTATGTGTAATGTTTATGAACATGTGTAATACATTTCTAAGCATAAATGATGCTATTTTAAGCATGTATGATTTGTGAGTAAGTATGATGTTGTATGAACATATGTGATTTGTGTGAGCATTTGTGAGGTTGTGGAAGCATGTTCAATTTGGATGAGCATGCATGTGTGTGAACATGTGCATTGTGTGGACATGTGTGTTGTGTGGACATGTATGATTATGTAAGAGCATGTGTGATATTTTGTGTGCTTTATGATACTTTCTCTTATAGAAAGTAAATATTATGGCATATATGCATCTATGTATCTACAAGACATAATAAAGATTATGTTTCTTATCTTACTGTGTTTCATAGAAATCCCAATAATGGTTCACATGATGGTTGAATATAATTTTTTCAACCTAATAATTGGTATATATATATGATTTGATTCTTATCTTTTCAAAGTCATGGTTACAAGATAAAGACTGAGACACTATGCAGTTTTCAAAAATGTGAATGGGTTGTATTAGCCAGCAGGTTGTTCATATGTCAACATCAAAAGATGAGGAAATGTACATGAATATGTACGGTGTATATATAAAAGTTTTAAATAACTTTTAAATAAATTCCTTGTAGAGATTTATACTCTTCTTAAATTTTCTACGAGAGATTTATAATTATGGTATAAAACTATTTCTGTATCATGTTTTATCGTATCATATTTGCAATAATTAAGATGAGAACTTTTGCCAATGTTTTGTATATGTTAATGGAATAAAATGTTGTTCAATAGAGTCATAGTCAGATAGTATATTAACAAATAACTTAGTCTGTTATGAAATATTTGTGACATATCACAGATTAACACAACTCTTTCCATTTAGGTTGACCGAAGTTTAAATACAATATACTTTAAGCAGTATTTGTGGTTAGTATCAGTTCCATGATCTGCCTCAGTTGTCCCACATCTTGACAACATTGTGCTGGCAGCTAAATTAGGGTTGGATTGTTAAAACAAATTCTGACAGATATGTCTTAACAGAGTCCTTGGGCAACGTCAATAATTTTTGATGGGTTAGTAAATTCAATTATTAACCTGCATGCAGCCAAAGGCAATAACTGTATATTGTTACTATTTGACAGCGTGGTCAAAACATGACAAGCGTTTTTTCTGAAACGTTCACATAAGAAACTTGATTCTATGAGGTCATAAGCATCCATTAAACAATTATGGGATCAAACATTTTTTTTACCATCAGGTCTGTTTTAAACTATGTAAAAAATATAAGATGAATGATATTAATGGGTGTATTTCATGTGTTATCATTTCTTAGACAGTTACAAGTCATTCAACTCTATTGTATCTTAAACAAAATGACAATCTGATTGATTATCTAATATATGATCTATATGTCAAATACAGATTAAAAATATACTTTTGTTGTAATTGAGAGATGTAACTATCAAATTAACGGTAGGAAGATTTGAAATAGTGCATCTCATCTATATTTCAACATTTACCAGTATCAGAATGAGTTTGAATTTCCTCATTTCCCTCGCAAGTTTCAACACTTTGAAGACAGGCTAGAATCATATCAAAGATTCCTAGAAAGAGATATGCCTGTATGATTGTAGAAGTTTAGTGAACAGATCATGTTACTGGTCTTGGTTAGTAAGGATTTCTCTTTAGTCAAGCTGTTGAATGACCAGTTAGAGGCTGAAAGGTTGCTAGTTCAAACTCGAGCAGGGCCAGGTTATTTTTCATTACTCTTTCCTACATTTTTGGTGTTGTTGACCACTACAAGGGTAGAAGATATAGTAGACTGAGATAGCAGTATTTGGAAATATTGAACCTGGCTTTTGGGTGTCTACGAGGACAAAGACCAGGAAGCTGAAGCTAGCTGAGGCTAGTGGGAATTTCCATTGGGTCAAAAGCTCCAGCGTCGATAAATGTCGCTAGTTCAAATCCCATGGGTGGAAAAGTGTTTTTCATTGATATTCCTTTCTATAATCAATGATATATGATGTAACTTAATCCATTATTTGACTGTCTTATGTATCCTGTTCTTTATTTGTATTCAAACATACTTTTCACTTTAGTTGGTGCATTTACAGATGTAATGAATGCCACAAAGGAGGCTTTCACCTAGATTATAATATATCATTCCTTATTGAATGTCATGTGTATATATGTTTGTAAGTTGCAGTTGGATGGCTGAGAATGTACGTGTATGATGATAAAGACATGACGGTACATACAAATAGATTTTGTACACATGTTTAAGAAAATGAAAAACTTTAAATTAAATACAGATTTTGTGAGGTGAGAACACTGCTGTATTTATGACAAAATCAAGCAAAAACCAGTTAATGTGAATTATCAAAATCAGACCTACATGTAAATCTGTTCTTTTGATGGGTCCTGTATTTGTAAGGATGTTATTAACTCCCTGCTGGGCTAAAAATAATAACCACACTCATATTATACTGTTTAATTTTCATTATAAATGATATATTTTGTAGCAAAAATTGAAATTCAACTGAGTACATCTTACTAAGGTGCCTTTCCACTTCTGATTGGGAAAGATGACAAACCTGAAAATCCAGCTATATCTTATCTTACATCTAGTTACCTCTAAATTATACAAAAAAGTTTCGTAAATATTAAGACCCTGGGACTAACAGTAATGGTCTGACTCAAAGTCAGAGGGTGGGCTTATTACAGGGTTACAAACTAATTCCACTGAACTGTTATCATGGGTTGGCTTTATACCAGACAGGAATTTATTGCCAGGTAAATACAATAAAGAAAGTGGTTCTTAATCATTAAGAGTACAGAATAGAAGAGAATTTACCTCAAATTAAGATTTAGACCAAACTGAGATTGGTTTATAGAAAAAAATTCAGCAGTGTTAAATATTTTCTGTATTCTGTATTCTGTATTCCTGAATCAGGACTTCAGTAGCTATTAAATACGTCAGAAAAACCACCTGCTTTTATGGGGACAAGGTAGGATTGAAAATGTTCAGACAGTTAAAACAACATCGTTTTCTGACCAATAGTATGCGTTCAGCCCAAGCCGGGTGTCATCAGTCTCCCCATACTCAACGTGTTAACTGTCATTAACCGTTAATTATACAATCAGCCAAGCCTTTCATGCTTGTTCGGTCACCTAGGTAAATTTGTTTACTTAAGGTAATTACATGTGTTAGGGTCACGCTCATTGTGGTTTCCTAATTATCAATGGATCAGACCACATCAAATGTTTCGTCGCAGTGACCAGTCAAATAATTTTTCTGTAGATTTTTTTTTTTAAATCTGATCTCCAAAAAGTACCTGCGCACTATACGCGAGTGCACACTATACGCGAATATTTACGGTACCTCATACAGATGAAGATCTTTAGCAAACTTTGCCCCAAAGCATCTCAAGAAAGATACTGCAGGATAGTCACGAAAAAAAATGAGAGGATCTCAAAAAGCAGAAAAGTATACTAACTAAGTAGATGTTACAGTAAGGTCTCAACTGACCTGCACCCAACCAGTGATAGTCAACTTAGCCAACAAATCAGACCAGTACAGTCTCAGCAGACAGAGCAGTACAGTGACAGCAGACAGAGCAGTACAGTCTCAGCAGACAGAGCAGTACAGTCTCAGCAGACAGAGCAGTACAGTGACAGCAGACAGAGCAGTACAGTCTCAGTAGACAGAGCAGTACAGTGACAGCAGACAGAGCAGTACAGTCTCAGCAGACAGAACAGTACAGTCTCAGCAGACAGAGCAGTACAGTGACCACAGACAGAGCAGTACAGTGACAGCAGGCAGAGCAGTACAGTCTCAGCAGACAAAGCAGTACAGTCTCAGCAGACAGAGCAGTACAATATCAGCAGACAGAGCAGTACAGTGACAGCAGTACAGTGACAGCAGACAGAGCAGTACAGTCTCAGCAGACAGAGCAGCACAGTCTCAGCAGACAGAGCAGTACAGTTACAGCAGACAGAGCAGTACAGTCTCAGCAGACAGAGCAGCACAGTCTCAGCAAACAGAGCAGTACAGTGACAGCAGACAGAGCAGTACAGTCTCAGCAGACAGAGCAGCACAGTCTCAGCAGACAGAGCAGTACAGTGACAGCAGACAGAGCAGTACAGTCTCAGCAGACAGAGCAGCACAGTCTCAGCAAACAGAGCAGTACAGTGACAGCAGACAGAGCAGTACAGTCTCAGCAGACAGAGCAGATTATATTGAGCAGACAGTATAGACTGACTGAGTGGTACTGTCTGGTTAGACAAAACAGGAGGATATCACTGACTGAGTGGTACTGTCTGGTTAGACAAAACAGTAGGATATGACTGACTGAGTGGTACTGTCTGGTTAGACAAAACAGGAGGATATCACTGACTGAGTGGTACTGTCTGGTTAGACAAAATGGAGGATATGACTGACCGTGTGGTACTAGACAAAACAGTAGGATATGACTGACCGTGTGGTACTGTCTGGTTAGACAAAATGGAGGATATGACTGACTGAGTGGTACTAGACAAAACAGTAGGATATGACTGACCGTGTGGTACTGTCTGGTTAGACAAAACAGTAGGATATGACTGACCGAGTGGTACTAGACAAAACAGTAGGATATGACTGACCGTGTGGTACTGTCTGGTTAGACAAAATGGAGGATATCACTGACTGAGTGGTACTGTCTGGTTAGACAAAATGGAGGATATGACTGACCTTGTGGTACTAGACAAAACAGTAGGATATGACTGACCGTGTGGTACTGTCTGGTT